TCCCCGGGCCGAAAGAGTACCCACCCAGGCCCGGACGAGCCGTCTCTGGACAAAATCAGCGCGGAATCGCGAGGCCCGTGGAGTTTCCAGCCGAGCATTTAAAGCGGGTGCGTGTGGAGGCTCTGGAGAAAGAAGAAGGAGAAGAAGTGCGTCGAGAGCGCGAAAAGGAGAGACCGACCTATGAACGTTGAGAGAATTAGAACTTTGGCCCGGTGCCGAATGAGGGAGTCACGGCTGGAAAACGGAGGACCCCGCGGATGATCCCACGAACGAAACGAAAGTCGACCTTGAACGGTCACAAAAACGTATGCGAGGGGAGAAATGTGTAATCTGACGTCATATGGCTGGTTCAAAGACCGGTCAACGCGAGATGCTAACTGTAGAGATCGAGAAAGCGATCGATTTACGAAGCTGCTGACGCTTCATTCTTATCGGAGGATTATCTTCACTTTCTACTAACGTCAGTGCTATCTGTCCAGCTGCAACTTATACAGAAACTACTGTTTAAAGTCCGATAAAACCATCGTAGTCACATCCGAAGGACTTCATCAATTAATTACATTATTTACGAGTGAACTTATGATATTTGTTTTAATAAATTAATCAAAAAGTATCGTTATCGACATAATCTATTGTTTTAATATATTATAAAATAAGATATATATATACGTGTGTGTGTATGTGTGTATGCGTGTTGTAATAATCTTGCATTGATGCGAATATCAATTTGGAATTCGCTCGCTCTTCTTGAGATCAAGCAGCAGGTTCCAACGCGGACTCGCGCGCGCGAAGGAGGAAACACCGAAAGAAAGAAAATCGCTTCAATGTAACTCCCATATCGATTCAAAGTGACTCCGATGTTGGTGATTCCTAAGTTTCACATACTCGTGATGATTTTCAATGAGATCACGGCAATGAAACAAATCGTATCCGGCGTGGATCGGATTAGATTACGCTTCTCGTGTTTTACGCTAATGAGAAAAATTACGCTCGCTTCCCACAATGTACGGCTCATTACGGATGAATCTGGTTAGCCATCGCGCTGAATGTGGATGAGCGGGTAACGGATTTGAAAGGGAAAATCCGACCGGGGCTACCGTACCACTTTTCGAGCGTGTCGGCGAGAATATAGATCGCACCGCGTGAAACGAGGAATGCGAGGAACGATGTTGCTCGCTTATCCATGGGTTCTTTCTCTGCATACGACTCGAAGAGTTGCTGGCAAAATCGTGAGAATCATTCAGAGACAAGGAGGTACTTTTACGTTATCTCCTGTATGGATTTAAAACTACTTATTTACGTTACTTGTCGTTCTTGATATGTTATTGTATTCGCTGGGGAATTATTTGGAAGAAGTAACACTATGTTAGAAAAACATTCGAGAACTTCTTTTAGTTTCAGCGGGATAATATTTAATATATAATGAAATAAATTTTTTTTTATTGAAAACGAAATATTTCCTCTAAATAATACCGTCTTCTTTTCAAACAACGTAGTTTAGTGAGACAACATTTTCATTCAAACAAAATGATATTTGATATTAAATTATGATCTTTATATTAAACAAACACGTATGCTAAATCAAGAGAAACCTTTTCCTCTGTGTATGTGTACATAAAATTTTATGTATAAAATAACTTAATAATAAAGTTTAATAATAATTAGTAATAAAATAAAATAAAATAATTTAATCATTCTGAGATATAGATAAAAATTTGAGAAACAACGGGTGAATAGAACTGAAAAACTAGGTGAGTGAGTTTTATACACACGGAAAAGCGCCGTGGACAGAGTAACCTTGCAGTCGCCTTGCGCACGAAGAAAATGTTTAGGATTATAAAACGCCCGCGGATACGTGCACGGCCAGCGCATGATTCAAACATCTGAAAAAATTCTGCCGAGCGTAGTAGCGCAGGAGGAAAACCGGATCCCGGAGAAAATCGTTATTGATCGGTATAGAATAATCGGCCGGGAGAAACGTTAACGCAGCGTCGGCGATATATCGGCAGCGTACACGCGTCGATTACTATGTCATCAACGACGTTAACGTCGACAGCTCAGCAGTTTGATCGAAAAGACGCAAAAACTGACTCCCAATTTTGGAAAAAAGTAACTCCGCGCGTGCACTTCTCACTGGTTCGGAGAAACGCGCACGATCAAAAATCGATGAGTAACGGTACGTGAAAGAAAAAACAAGAAATAAGCAGAAACGCGACATGTAATATACAACGTAATTTCAAATAAATGGCGGACGTTAATCTCCCGGCAACATCTCCCGGCCGAGTGAGCGCACGAGCGATGAAAGTGCATAGAGCGCAGGAAGCAACGAAAGTCGCGACAACGACGGGCACGCTCGATTTAGCAAACAGCAACGTCATTCATGAGCAAGAAAATAATCTTTCGACAGACACCTCGGCTAAAAACTTATCGCCAACTTGGAAACGGCCGAACCCGAGGACATTTCCCATTGGAATGCGCGCGACCCAGGTAGACGTACCTGCCGCGGCAGGTAGCTGCTCTCCAACCTTAGCGGCCGGACGAAAGATAAAGCGACATGAGGGCGTGGTACGTATTTGAAGACCTTTCGTTTTATAACCGGTGTCTTATTACCATCAAATTAAATTTTAATACCGGGAGGAAGATAAAAATATAATACATTCCGTGTACGCACGTAGACGTTCAATTTTACGGTGTTATAATTATCATTTTATCGCGCGTCCGCTGAAATTGGGATTTTATTTTTCGAAACCTCGGCCTGCCGACTATTTGAGATTTATATATCTTTCTATGAAAAGTGTCAGGAAAAGTGTCATACTTTTTTTTCTCACATCACGTCGCATATCTTTGGATGGTTAATTGTCCTTCATAGAAGAGAATCAAATGTGGATATAGAGTGGATGACTGTATTATATTATTTTAACGAAAAGCTTGCTAAACGCAAGTATAAAATTGTGTTTTTTTCTAAAGATCGAAGATTCCGACGCACACACCGTGTATCTGTCGCGCTGACCCCTGCATTTTCACTCCGTTCGTTTACCTACGCATTTAATGCGATTGTCCGCGCGCACGCTGGCACTAATACGGCCGCGGTCATCGTGCAAGTAAAGATGACGATACACACGGACGATACCGAAGTATCGATACATTACTCGCGACGCTTTCCACGTAGACGTTGCTCCTTCTGCTTTATTCATATTATCTAAATACTCGAAATATCAAGCGTGATTTGATGCAACTGCAAAAGTCAACATTCAAATCGTCATCGGATGCCTCGCGCTCGGTCGATTAAGAAGCCGGCGATAAAAATGCACACTTTCTACGATAGCCTTTGATAGCGAAAAGAAATGGTGTCGAGAGCGTTAACAAGGTAAAAGCGCGCATCAGCCGCTGCAGTCATTGGAAAGTCGCGAGGTGTGGAATCGCACACCTGTCGAAACCGGACTAGAAACGTTCCGTCCGAGATGCAAAGCGTTATATTTTCATTAAATATATATATATATATATATCAATGCGATATTAGCACCGATCTAATTAACGGATATACTTTTAATCGGAATCGCGTGCACTGAGACACGCACAGACAGCCGTTTGACTTTTACACGCACGAAACATTCGTTTGCTACGAGCGGGAGAACAGCGTAGCCAACTCACGTGCCAGATACATCGGGATTTTCCTCGGTGGGGGAGGAAAGCGGAGGGGGGGAGGAAAAAAGAGCGGATAATTGCTGTACGCAATCGACACACGCGAGAGTACGCGTCTAGCGCTCGTATGTCCGATTATGCGGTCACTTCCCGTGAAATTATGAGGCCGGTTGCCCGCATTCTCGGCGCTCATTTAGCGCTAAACGCGACTGCCCGGCTCTCACCTCATCTCCTCATCGGGGAACGAATATTCCCATCGCGTCGGAAAAATAAAACGTCGCGGACGGTCGTGTTTCGCGCTCCGGCGTCTTTTTCCACGCACAAAATTGCATTTTGCGCGCTGAATATTAACGACGTGATTAACAAGTTTTTGAACACGCCGGGAAGAGGACGCGCTAACAGTTCTCTCGCGTGTTGTCCTTCAAAATAGCACAACATACCGTAGATAGCGGAGAAACGAGAACGCTAAAGGAATAACCGGCTAGTTCCCGGTGTGCTCTCGGCGTTATCTTCTGCACGCGTGCAAACTGTGACGCGGATGTGACCTCGTCGCGCGAACCACGCTCGGTTCACCGCAAAGACGTAACAGATTTACAACCAAGCGTTTTAATATCTGTTATGTATACGTTCGGAAGCATTTTACGGTCGTGGTAAAAATTATCTAGATACGCTGAATTAGCTAAGATGGATAAGTGTCCAGCAAACACTTCGATGTGTGTTGCATCTAATCAATATTAGCGACAGGGACGGAATTTTTATCTGAACGATTTGTCTAATTTAGCAAGAAAAATCCTTTCTAGAGTTCGGATTAAGGCCAGTCACGTTTCTTATTGAAAATTAGTAAAAGGATCAACATTTTCTTTTTACATACCGCTCTCGGTATTATATTTCTCTCACATATTGCTGGAATTCTGCTGCTGTAAATTATACGTGACACAGGTAATTTTCTAGCAGATGCAAAAAAACAGCGATACATTTTACCTGTGACATTTAACATTTTAGCTGAGTCAGCGAAACATTTCCTTGAGCGTAGCGACGTAATGCGTTTTTTCTTCGTTTCTCCGAGAGCGGTATGTAAATTCGGTGGAAAAAATATTGCTGAGAGAACCCTGTGGAATCAGTAGGAGAGATTTCCCACTGTTAGTTGGTGTTCATTGGATGTTACTATCTTTGTGGTTAAAACCATAAAAAGGGTATACTCGCGAGACGCCTGTAATAACTTGAATTTTCCCCCTCAGTGTACGTTTCATTCAAGTCGGTGGTTTAAAGTGGCATAAACATTATTTCCCAAAATACTGTCAACACAGCGGTCTCTTCACATTCCAACTGACGCTGGAATTTCACTTTCGTGCGCGTACCTTGTGTTTACGTCGACACCGCTTGGAGCTGCTGCCACCGAAGAGGAAGTCGTCCTTCAGCAGGTGTGCGTCGTACGTTCTGCTTGCGGCTCTCTTCTTCGACGTCGTCTTTCGCGACCTTTTATTGATGGCATGCCGCTTCTTCTTATTCCCGAAGAGCTTGCGGAAGATCTTCATGCCGCCGGCTGGATTTTCACCTGGACGACACGATAAACGTCGTGACCGACTCGACCGAACGCCGTAATCCCGCGTTCGAGCAGGCAACGATTATCACGCGGGGAATATTATCTTCGTGCTAAGATCATCATTACGCGTACGTGCGCGATTACCGCACGCGGGTTCGGTATTGCGCGTCGCGGGATTAAGCGCGCAAACTACGCCGGTTCACGGCCAACTGACGATCGAGGAAGATTAACGAGAGTCACGTAGAAATCACGCTCGCGAGAGAGAAAGAGAGAGCCGCGAGTGCTCGATGCACTCGAACGATGCGCGCCAACGCCACTAAACGCTCCACCGCGTCTACACCGAAGGCCCGGTGGCGTTGTTACTCATCATCGCGACGTGCCATGTGCGATGGGGGCGGCTCATGGCTTATCGTCGTTACACGGCGATATACACGCACCAGATCGACGACACACGCGGCTATGAAATCCGCCGGTGATTTCTTCCGCGAACCGCTCGCACGTCCGATTAATCGATAATCGCGCGAAGCCCCGCGCGAATCTCGCTTCCGGAAAGAGCTCCATCGCCGCGGAAACTCCGGATAAGCCTATTGGCTGGCAAATTAAGTTTCACGGCTGAGTAATCCGGCTGGATAATTTGTCTTCGATTACCCTACGAGAGAGAGAGAGAGTGGGAGGATGTTTCTCCCTTCTTGCTCATATCTGAGTTCAAGCTATCGGAGTGAATTCTTGTTATTTCCCTCTTTTCCCCAGCGTCCAACACGATGTCCGCTTGGAAAATCCTTCCTCTTGCCCATCCGTTTCCGCAAGCAATGAATGGATGTTTCAGCGGCCGCTGCGATATCCTCGAAGATATGCGCTCCTGCACGCCGAAAAAAAGAATTAAAAGTATGCCGATACTCGGACACGCGCCTAAATCTGGAGGCATTCTTATTGTTTTGGTTTTTAACTACGAATACCTGAACTTTCGACCATGAATATATATACATATACATTTGACACATATATATATATATATTTAATATTGAGGGTTTAATTTATTAGGAAGAATTGTTCATCTTAATTTTCAATCAATGAGGTCATCGCACTTCCTTTCCCATTGACGTCGGTTACACCGGATGCATCGTCAGAGGACGCAAATATTAAATGCACGAGGTGTGGAGGCAAAGTACTGACATCAGAGACAACACAATCAAAGATACCGATTCTAATCCCGCGTTGGTTTCAATTTCGACTTAACTCCGAAAGACCGCGATTTCCCCCGTCGACTTCAAGTAGACGCATCTCTGAGAATTCGCCATTAGCGCGTCTAAGAGCAATTAATTGTTCAACAGTCTAAAAATTGAACCGATAATATGGTCAGTCATTTGCCGCAAAGTTCGACAATTTCTTCTGACAATTTAAATACGATGATGCTATAATTATTGAGAAATTTTGAATGTGAAATATCCCGCGGCCGAATTAATATCCTATTAATAATCCTATTAATGTATTATCTTGCCGGCTATACTTAAATAATATCTAACAACGTATAAAATCAATCATAACTACATCGGTTCGATACAGCTATGCACAGTCCTTCAAATCACTTGATAACGTCGAGATCTATTTATAAGCCGCACGAATGTTTATCGAATTCCATGCTCTCAACTCAAACACGAACTATCTGCTTTTCACATGAGTGAACCTATGTATGTACTTAAGTATCTCATAGAATTCGTTAAACGCGTTAAACGCGCATGGCGGCTGATAAACATATCTCCACGCTATCGATAGCGAACCAGCCTGACTGCGTTTTATTTTTATAATTGATAAGAGCCGAAACTGGTCGCATCAAAATGTTGCAGAAGAGATCCTCCGAGGGCGTTAATTTCTCTCCCCTAATCGTCCGATAAATATACGGCGGTAAATATGCTTGACAAACATATTCAAATTACTTGGTGTCTTAACGCTCATTTGCACACACATGCGGCGCATCGATGGCGACAAATATGGGGCCGTCTATAGTGTAATGAGATAGTGACGTGACATCTCGTCGCCGACAACGCCCATCGTGAATACATATATAGGCATTGACACATTTGTTGTTACATAGAGAGCGTCACATACAGGCGGTCACTTCTGTTGCCTACATATTTACGCCCGCCTCGTGAATTTTCTTTTACACCGAGAGGCGCTTTTGCAATCAATCTTGCATAATGACAGTGTATGCACGTGATAAAAAAGAGTGGCGGGAATACGATGTACGTGCTGTGAGGCGTACGGAGCTAATAGGTCCGCTAAAAGTTACTCTAGCGAAAGTTAATAAGATGTTAATTATTCCGTGGTGACGAATTAATGGATTATATTATACAGGCCGGCCACGAAACAAATTTTTGTCCAGTAATTCTAATCAGAGTAGGTATTTCTTACAGATTTTCGATCGCAGAAACGATGCCGCCAAACCGCTCTATCGCGTCAGATTTTCGAGTTATTTTGAATTTTAAAATGAGAATTAGCAATTCATAAGAAAAAAATGTATAAGTTACTAAACGCCAATAAAGTAATAAAAATAGATAAATGCTTGATTTACATATTGATTCTATATTAACACATTGACAGCCGGCCCCGCGAAAACGCGGGTTTCTGAGTCTGGCGCTTGAGCGCCAGACTCAGAAACCCGCGTTTTCGCGGGGCCGGCTGTCAATGTGTTAACAAGGGATAAAAAACTGTCTCACAAATAATAAAAATGTTTGTTGAAGATACAGTGTGTAAAGAAAATAAAAATTTATTTCATGTTTTGGCGATATTAGTGAGAATGAATAGTCGAGAGAGCACGGATAATGAGAACGGATTTCAATGTTATGGGTCCCGTTCTCTTCGTAATAAAATCCTCTTGAAATTTTATTAAAAATGTATGAAAAAAGTACAACTCTAAAGTGGCTGATAAAACCAATTTTTCAGAATAAAAGAAATATCTGATTAATTTCAATACGAAAAAAGTTCTCTTAACAGTTTTTTTGAGGTCACATTTAAATTTGACATTTCAATAGCAAGAATGTGTTTAGCCGATAAGTAATAGTAATTTATTATACATATTTTTTCCTTATGAATCGTTGATTTCTCATCTTAAAATTCGAAATAACTTGAAAACCTGACGCGATGGAGCAATTTGGCTAACAGGATTTTGTTTTTTGTGATAAAAAAATCCGTAAGAAACGCCTACTCCGATTAAAGTCACTTTGACAAAACCTTTTTCCTCGGCCTGTTATTTGCCGCTCGCTTCGCTGCAAAAATTAATGCCAATATTGAAAGTGTACACGCGATACGAGTATGTTGTGTGTTCCTGCCTTGCGTAATTAAAAACAAATCTTCCGTTTTACTCACGAGATCACTCGCATATTGCACCGTCTTGAAGGAAAGTTCAGACGCCTGGGATTTGCGCACATGGATTTCCCCGGCAAATCTCTTTATGTATTGCGAAAGCCGATTGCCACATTTGTGATTTCCAGCTGTCTGGATCTTAATCTCATATTTAACATTGGCTCAGTATCTCATGTGACTACACTGAAGTCGCAACGTTTACTGAATAACAGACACTTTATATATATATACGTCTCGTACAGCTACGCTTCGTGTAAAGATCACGCGATTGATTATTCGCGATTGATCTATTCGTGTATTTATTTGAAATTAAATAAGAGACATTTCCGTTTTCTCCAACCGCGCGAGTGAATCCATAGTTTGTGGCGGGGGCGTTCGCCGGACGTCTATGAGTTCACGGCACTCGAAGGGGTTGACGCGACAAGCAGTCTCGGCGAGAGTCGACCTGAACGGTCTCTGAAATATCGTTATGCAGCGACAAAGCTGGATACAAGGTTTGACAAGAAATTCGTGAGAATTGATCTCCGATGATTCACCGCCAGAATCCTCATCTTTGGACCCTCCTCGCAGCCTTGAATTATAATGCTAATTTAAGCAGGATATTTTCGCACGACAAACAAATGAAGCACCTTACGACATTGTTAATCGTCACGAGCGATGCTGTCCGACAGGCGAACAGTACCAAGCGCGCTCCTCTGCGAAGATGACGTGCGCATGTATTGAAGATATAAATCAACGCGATAACGCACGTCGAGCGGGGTGAAGAATATCCGGCACGGATCGCGATCCTCTTTCTTTTTCTGCCAGTCTCACAACACGCCTTCTTTATTATAGACGCGAGCCCGCAATTTTTCGGTACAAAACGGTCTTCCGACTTCATCTCGCAAATTGTTTCCGTCGCGAGTCGACACGATGGTGCGCGCCGATAAATGCGACACCGAGTCGAAACCGAAGTTTTCGATCGCTTCGTCGGACAGTGAAAAGCAAGATCATGCGACACAGAAGCTGAAGAGTGCCGACGTAGGAAGAAAGCGCTTTCAATTTTTAGCCAGTTTGTGCGGTGAGTACACACACGAGATCCGAGAGAAAGTGAAAGTCACGTGGGGGGTGTGTCGAATATTTCCACGAGAAAACAGAGGAGCTACTCGTTTCGATCAGATGTTGCGTTCAATTGCACAAAGAAAGAAATTGTGATCCCGATTCAAGTTAGGCCGAGAGAGGGACAAGCGGCGAGCTAATACGTTCCGTGCGATGTATACAATTTTTGGTACATGCCGAACTCGATCTTCACGCCAAGTGATTGTGATTCACGCCAAGCTTTTGTCACCAAGAGACAAAGTAATTTGTCTTATCACTTATTCGTTTCGCTTCTTCATCATGTTAGGAGCACCTTTAAAGCCATAGGCCGATTTCGGTACGCACGACGTTGTCATGAGTGTTAGAAACATGTTAGAAAAGAAATGTTAGAAGCTTGGGGGTACCGAAAGGGCAAATTAAAACAAAACAAGCAACAACGTTTTGTGTATCAATCGAATGTAAACGCAAAATGTTCGAGAAAGTTATATTTTCTTTGTTTCATAATAAGCTACGGTTTAAAGTATTTTATTCTACAATATCTTGCTTTTGTTATCCCTCAATTCTCTAGTCTATTCTAAAATAAATTATTTACTTAGTTATACTGCACTTTCATAATAAATAACTGTTCAATTCACGCGAAAAATCAAATAATTATAATATATTTATCGAGCTCCATATCGTGTACCGTTTTCGGTATATACAGCGTGAATTGAAAGTCGCGTAAAAACAGTCCGGCATAGAACGTGTTAAAGTCACATGGATTCTCGTTTCAGTTGATCGATACTTTTTCGACTAAAATCATGGCTACATGCACGAAACGAAATGGGCGAAACATTTTCTCGCTTTATCCAGCGATACTATTCACGTTACTCTATATTACTCCTACATTAAACTTTCACCACGAAGCATGTATATGCGTCAATCGTAGATAACGCATATTTACAATCAGACTCACATTATACTCCGGATTGGATATCATACTATTTGTTCAATGATGACACGCACGTATAATGTGGCAATGATGAGAAATCCGCGGTATATCAAGAATCGATCCAAAATTTAAATTAACTTGTCTAGGGTGAAGCAATAACTACCGCCACTTTGAATATCTTTAAAAAATAAAAATATCTTATTAATGACTATATAAAGATAAAAAAATGTTTACATTTACGAAAAGTGTTCGAAATGATGACGATTGCGAACCAACGTAATTTCTGTTAAGTAAATTTTCCCCCTATTCTCTATAAAATCATCATTATTCAATTATCATTATATTATTTTTCTATAAAACATATTTTTCCGAAATATTATGTCAATATTACGGCAATCATTCGATGTTGCATGCATAGAGAAAGCAAGATATCAGAATATCAAATTCGCCTATGCATGAATACTTTATATTACATAATTTTCCAATCTTATCGAAAAATTGATAAAATCTCGAAGTGCCTTCAAACAACTCGGATTTAGTTGCCTCGGATCTTAGTTCCACTCGACGAGGAAGATATCCTGACGCTTCAATAATATAAGCCAGCAAAATCCATCCATATGAGTGATATTTCCCTTCCCGAGTTACGGGAAATAAGAAAGGACGTTTTTCCCCCTATAATGAGCCGTTTGATTTCAGCCGGGATAATCGGCGTTCAGAGCGGCATAACGCTCACTTGGACGTCACCGATACTGCCGTACCTCATGTCGGATGCGTCCTTTCTGCCTGAGCTGTCCGAGAGCCAAATCTCCTGGATAACGTCCTTGCTGGCGTTAGGCGCCATCGTAGGCGCCGTGCCTGCCGGCAAGATCGCCGACCGTATTGGCCGAAAGTGGTCCATAATCTTGACGACCGTGCCGTTCGCGACGAGCTGGCTCATCCTGATCTTTACCCGAGACGTCGTCAGCATATACATCGCCAGATTCGTCGGCGGGATCGGTGCCGGCGCGGCCTGCGTCCTAGTGCCGGTCTACATCGGCGAGATCGCCCAGGCGTCGATCCGGGGCGCCCTCACCGCTTTCTTTCCGATCCTCCTCTCTTTGGGGATTGTTTTGTCCTTCGTGGCGGGCGCTTACTGTCCCTACGCGACCTTCAACTCCATCTGTTGCGCCCTATTGCTGCCCCTCGTCCTCAGCGCACCCTTCATACCGGAGTCGCCGATATGGCTGGTGCAGCAGGGCCGTAAGGCCCAAGTCACTAAAGTCCTGTTAACACTGAGGGGATCGAAATACGACATTACGGATGAAATAACCGTCCTCCAGGACGACGTAGGCAAGGTGATGAACGTGCAGGGCGGCTTCAAGGATCTCATCGGCACGAAGGCCGGGCGTAGAGCCATCATCGTCTGCGTGGGACTGATGAGCTTCCAGCAACTGTGCGGCGTGGACGCGATCCTCTTCTACACGGTCACTATCTTTCAGGAGGCCAACAGCACAGTCGATCCATTCGTGGCGAGCATCATCGTCGGGCTCGTCGAGGTCTTCATTACGATAATCGTCGCCACCGTCATCGACAGGTGCGAAGTGTGACGTAACTGCCGTGAAATTCTTTCCCGAGTGACATCGCGAGTCTGAAAGCGGTATTCATAGTTAAATCTTATATTTGAGATCTTAAGTTCATCCTCAGATGACGTACGGCGCATTTCATTGGTATTGCAAGGCATCGGGAGATGAAGTTAAGACGACGAGTTAAATATAAGATCTATGAATACCGAGCCGTGAAAGTATGAAAGTCACTGTTGACGAATCCGGCAGGTTTGTGTGTTTGAAAATTAACGCAAGCGGTCTTGGAATTTCCGGTCGATTTCTACTCTCTCTCTTTCTCCAGGTTCGGCCGCAAGCCGCTTCTGATAATATCTGGCGCAACGATGACCATCGACTTGGCTATCCTGGGCTATTACTTCAAGCTCAAAAACGAAGGCGACGTGAGTGCCATCGGATGGTTACCGCTCACCTGTCTCTCCGCCTTCAACGTCTTCTTCTCCATCGGTTACGGTTCCGTGCCGTTCACGGTGATAAGCGAAATATTCCCGCCGCAGACCAAGGGCGTCGCCAGCAGCATGTCGATCGTGGTGCACTGGAGCCTGGTGTTCGCCGTTACCAAGTTATTCCCGTCCATGGAGGACGGGATGGGTCCGGCCGCAACCTTCTGGACGTTCGCCTGCTTCACCGCTGCGTCCACCGTCTTCGCATATTTCCTGGTGCCGGAGACGAAAGGGAAAACGCTGCAGGAGATACAGAAGAAGCTCGAACGGAGCAAGTCGAGTACGGAGTACCCGGTCGAGCCGCTCTGAAGGTCGGGCCAGCCGAAAGCGTTCACCTTGTCGCGCTTTTGCAGCGCCGAGATTGGGAGCGATGGCTCCGAAACGTCCAAGTTTTCTCCAAGTTTCGATGCGACGAAGAAGAGGTGCGATTTTTTTCTTCCTCTTTTTTTTACAAGAAGCGTGTCGTCTGTCATAGAAAAATCGCAAGAATCGTGAGAGAGATAGAGATCTTCAATTCGTGTAAATTATTTATATATTATTAATTGTGCTAATTTATATGCAAACGATATACATGGAGGAGATATTACAGTAAAAATTACTGTAAAAGTTTGTAATATTTGATTATATCGGAGAATTATCGTCGAAATTATTATGTGTATTATAATTTCTAGATGTGACATATAACTATCACTAAAGATTACCACACATGTCATAATTTCAGAGTAAGTAAGTTTCATAAGTTAAGTTTTGCTATAATATTTTCACCATGTATAGTGGTTGAGCTCAGATTTTCTGTTGTCAAAAATCTGTATTATCTTTAGTGCGAATTAGGAGTAGGCGATGTCAAAAAAATAGAATCCATGTCCTAGTTTTGAGAAATATCAATTATATCTTAAAGCTAGCAAAAAACAATCTTTTCAGTTTTTGACTCTTTTTTTGTACGTATATATTATACGATAAGAAACAACGCGGTAATCAATCTTTCGCTACATACTTATTACTGCCTGAAAAATTAATATTCTTTTATCATTGAATCTTACATGCCACATTTTACTGTTTTGTTTTGTCAGTAAAATCGGTGGCTGCTCGTAGCGGGAATTCTAGAACTGCACTTTGAAGTAATAGCCGATCCGCTAGATACGTAAATTCTTAATTTTTTATGCAAAAATATGAAGAAAAGAGACGAGCCTTCATAGTATACCTGTTCCGCTAAGATGCGACTGACGGACTACTAGCGCCACTCAGCGATATTACTGAGAAATTGCGTTAACAGGTTTAAATCTCAGCTGAGCGAGGTTCGAGTCTTGGTGAAACAAGGTTTGAATCTTAGCTAAACAACTTCGTATTAATTCTAAAGTCTCCGCTACGAGGCGCCACAGTTTCCAACGGCAAGTCGTAATTGTAGTATGATGTAGTACAATGGCGCATCACAACGAACGGACTTATTATTATTCAACAGCACGATAGATAATAGCGAATTAATCGACCTTACTATTTTCAAAGGAACTACGGCAGGTTAGAATTTTTCTTTTCACAATACCTAATACTTAATACTAGATTGATAATTAGTAAAAGGAAAAATAAAAATAAATGGGAGGAAATTAACAAATTTATGCTATTATGTAATGGAATGAAATCTCAAAAATTAGTCTTCTATTCTTCTCTATCTCTATCTCTAACCAGTCTTCTGTTAATAACTAAAAAATTTGCATGATTATGCATGACATATTTACAAAATGGTAAGGAATTTTTGCGTGTTCTTTGCAAAATGGTAGAGGACTTTTTTGTTCACCTCGATTTATTTTACACCTTTATGAAGTTTCTCCATGTTGATCTGAGGTAATATATATATATATATATAGAACACACACATACACGCACAATAATTCCTAGTAAGGAATTTTTTTTATACTTTCTTCCTCTTCGTGAGAAATCACGTGAATAAAGTGAAAGGTGTAACGAGAAACAGAAAGAATTTCAATAATCTGAGAAGCACCGGACAATAACAAGACAGTGATATGGCAATTTAGTCGTAGTAGTGTAATAATAATAGTCGTAGTGCTATTGCGTCGTGGTTTCAATGGGCAGATTATTGTTTGATTCGAGTTAGGGATCAAGCCGGTATGACGAGGCTAAAGGAGATAGCGCCATTCCCCGCGTGTATTCTTCGGACGTGCTCACAATAGCGACATCCCGTCTGTGACACCGCTTTTCGCACACGGTATACGTACGCTTTGTACTCGGTATTGGCTTCAACGAGATTACGTCGCCCCACTTGACGCAAATCCTCCCTCCTCCGTTTCTTCTTTGTCATTATTACGATTGTAACGCGATGCAAATTACAAATGTTCTCGAATTACACGACATGCTGAAGCATCGCGCGAATAAAATTTACGCGCCGGGGCTTCTCGACCGGCGCAAAATGAATTTTCCCTACGGGGCGGGGGGGGCAAAAAACTTTACCGAACGTTATTTCTTAAATAATGGATAAAATGTAAAGCGCACTTATGCATTGTGCGCGTTATAACGGCGGGCTAAAATGTTTGCGCCGCGCGAGATTAATAACGAATAGGTTCCTGCCGAAAAGAACGGGATTCCTCGCGAGAGCGTAAATAAATGAGCAGGCATCAGGCGCTTGAAGAGAAGCGAGAACTTCGCGACTCTATAAATCCTAAATGGCGCTCGGTTTTCGGGGATTTAAACTGATCCTTCATAAGTCGCACTGATGACGCCCGACGGTGCAAAGTTTCATCGCTCTTTTCGGCTGCCTCTACGAAGATTATTATAGAGAGCTGGAAGACACAGAAGGGAATAGCAAGATGTAATCAAGCGCGGTGAGAATGATGTGACGTGTAGAAATTTGAAAAGCAATATCCGGCGTGTCGTCTTTTTGCCTCTATAACGATGAGCTCCTCATTGTTGCTATAAAAATGCTTTGAGACCGAATCGTAATATGTCTATGAATACGCGAGGGGTTTGTCAAGTCCGTCTCATACATTCACGCCTTCCTGATGAATGTCCTGATTTGCACAAAAGACGCTTCGGGTATTCGCGTTTTCCTCGGATATTAGCGTCTCCCCCCCCCCTCTCTCTCTCTCTTTCTTTGCCGGAAAAATATATCTTTCTCTCTTTTCGCCCTCAAACGTTTATATTTGGCCGAAAAAGTGAGGTTCTTGATTCGCGAAAATTCTGACTTTTAATTCCAATCTTGAACTCCAGCTTTAATCAAATCAACACCGTAAATCTTCGTTCTTGATTCACTGGGTACTCAGAATCGACCACGTTCTGCTACAGTTCTGAAGCAAAAATATAGTATCGTTGATTAGATACGAGAATTAATGGCTTAGAGCGAGAAAAATACACGCGGATATGAGCTTTGGCGGTCGTTTTGTAACTCGATAATTTTCACTCACTTGGACGACTGAACTATATTTCAGGTTTCGATCGCGAAGAGTCAAATGCAAGAATACGGGAACTCTGTAAACCTGTCTTTGATCCTATCCGAAACTTCGGTACAGCACCCGCAACCATGCGGAATTGCACTTTCCGGAAAACGCATCGGCCGTGTGGTCACAATCTTTGCCAAATCTGAAACAAAAAGTAAGTCGGCATTACGGAAAAGAGACAATTAGATAACACGCCTTTTTCTAAGATAGGATATATAACTATGATAATAATATATATATTTCTTGTATCTTATTTTCTTCGTCTTTATTGTGAACAGCTTTGATTTAACAAAACCATGATACTTTCTCGTTTACAAGAGATATATTACATTATATAAAAAAATATTTGAACAATAATTTTATATAAAATCTATCCCTGCAGCACGCAGCACACAGAAAGTGCTTTGTAGCTGGAATTAAAGCAGACAAGATACGAGTAACGTTTTTACCATGAATATCACGATTAATTTGAAAATCATTCGTCGCTGCATCCCGCGTTTATAAGTAAAATGTTTTGTCCTCGGCTTGAATTCCTTTGGATGTTAAATCGAGGACAAAATATGTATTTCACGATCCGTGGACTATGTAATTACATTCCGCACGAACGGGGGGGGGGG